GAGAGAGAGAGAGAGAGAGAGAGAGAGAGAGAGAGAGAGAGAGCAGGTAAGTCTCCAACCTCGCGGTTTGCCTTTCGCTCTCCCTCTGTGGATTCTCACCCTTGTTTTCCATGCCAGTGCTTGTTACACAGAAGGGAAGCATTTGCTGGATTCGAGTTTTTTACGCTTTGAAGTTTGAATAGGAAACATGCTGAAAGCCTGCAAGTGGAAATGTGAAAAAGAAGAGTCTGCTGCTTTGAGTTCCTGACCCCTTGCGCCTGTTTGACGTCCATTTTTTGCTTTTGTCTCTCATCTTACAAAAATTGCAGTGGGCATGCTCGAGGTCATTTGGCCTTGGGACACAGCTTCCCTGGGACGAAGAGTTTTTGATTGAGTCTCTGTCGGACTCTACCATCTACATGGCCTACTATGCGGTTGCCCATATTCTCCAGGTATGGTTGAGGAGCATCCATCCAATTTTCCAGCGTTTTTTGTATGGAACGGTCAATCTGTGAAATCTGCATGACACTGCCCTTTGGATCTGTGTTCGAATCCAGATGGAACCGGATGACAAGGTGAAATCATTCTGAATTGCGTGGGGCCGGTCATTTCGAGGATGATATCTCAAGGCTGCCGCCGCCCTCTGAAAAGAAGAGATTGCAAAGGCTATTTTGCTGCTGGCAATAATCCTTTTTGGGGGGGAAAGAACAAAGGGGTCGAAATGAAACAAAAACAGAAAGGGCTGATGGTCGAATCATACAGGAGACTTTGCCTTGTATGGCTTTTTTCAGAATCTTATGGATATTTGCGTCCTTTATTTCCTTTATTTTGTTTGTGGTATGTAATCTATGGGTGGAATTCAAATGTTTTTTTTGGCTGTAACCTTAGTCTCCAGTAAATTGGGTCACCATCGATTGGACTCTTTGTGGAACGGACCACTTCTGAGGCTTGTTCTATGAAAGACAATGACGTCAGATCGTCGTGGATCGCTGGGAGAATTAAGATTGCAGAACACGCTTGTCCGTGTTTGCCGACAATGTCGTGGTGTCTGAATCTGAATTGAGCTCTCCGAGGATTCTCAAGATTTATCATAGCAATGGAATCGGACCTTTGTTGTGAGATTTGTGGCTCGGCTTCTAGAGTGTACACTTAAAGAAAAGGAACTATTGTTATGTGTTTTCTTTTTTTTGCGGCTGCTGAGGTTCTCTTTATCATAACGAAAAGGTGTAAACAAATGAAAACTTCTTTCATACAATAACAAAAAGGCAAAACATGGTTGCGTGAAGGCCAATCCAGTGTTGAAGTGCTTTCCTGGAAAGTGGATGGATCTGCTGTCTGGGCTCTTTTATGTGCGCCACGCCGGTCACAGTGCATTTGTATTTGGTTTGCGCAAAACCTGCCGTTGCTGATCTCCATCCAACAGGAAGACTTGGCGTTTGCCTGTCACTTTGTAGCATGTATCACAAGCCTCGCCTTGCAGCCAACAATGGGTCTTGCTGCGCTATTCACTGATTATGTGAAATGGTGAGTGCATCTTAGCTAGAAGGTGCAAAGATACTTCCAACTTCTTTTCTTCGTTTTCACAATCAGGGAGTGGTTGAGCGGTGCCCAATGTGGGCTCGAAATTCACTGCCTCTTGACAAAATCAGGGAGAGGTAAGTTTACATATCTTGTTTGTTGTATTTTTATCGTTCGTTTCGTGGAATGCGCTCTTTTGGTTGGTACGTGTGTGACAATATATATAGCGTCTGTAGTCTTGATGGTCTTGAATATATGTTGTGGGCTTGCTGAATAGCGAGCAGCGTTGATTCACTGTTTTGCACGGAAAGCAGGACACGCTGTCATGCTTGCAGCAATTACGAGATATGTTTGTTGGTTGCTTAGCTATCATCAGAGTGCAGGTCTTGGTTGGTGGACTGTGTGCCCTAGCCAGCTACCTGGCTGTTTGGGATCCTCAGGGACTTGGTTAATTTCGGTAGTTAGTGCGAATAGAACAAATATTGACAAGGTAGAGAATGGCTGCTTTTTCTGGTTGATCTTATGGGAAGACTGATTGGTTGTGTGAAAGTAGTGAAGAAACAGTGGCGATGGAACAAGCTTTGGCTGGGGTTGATCACATGGGCCGTGCGCCATGCGCAAATTAGTGGCGCGCTCAATTTTTATTTTTATTTTTTTTGGGGGGGGGGGGTCTGTGTGTATACACGGGGGTGTGTGTGTGTGGGGGGGGGGGGGGGGGGGAGAGAGGGAGAGAGAGAGAGAGAGAGAGAGAGAGAGAGAGAGAGAGAGAGAGAGAGAGAGAGAGAGAGAGAGCAAATGATCCCTTTCACACATATCAGAGGGGGAAGAGTGGATGGTTGTGCAAGTAGCAAACTAACATTGGGAAGGGAACATTTGACTGGAGGCAAAGAAGGATTCACTCACAACAACACCTCCATGGATGACAAAGACCCAAAGTGGTTTTTCAACTGTTTTCCCTGAACTTCAAGATCGTTAAGCTGTTGTGATTTTGCGCTTTTTCACCCTGGGGGCCTCAAACTGCTGTGTACTCCGATTGCCGTGCTTGAAATGTGTAGGGCGGCGACATGTACGGGAAACCAGATGAGCGTCCGGTGAAGCCTGAGCAGTTGACCCATGAAGTTTGGGACTACATATTTTTGGGTGGAAAGGTTCCGCAGACAGACATTGATAGTGAGTTGCTGAAGGTGTGTTGTCTTCTGCCTCTTTCCTCTCCCCACTTTGCCCAACATCAGCTCAGATAGCTTAGTTCTCTCGTGAGTGAGTGGATGTATATTTCGCTCGGTGCTCTCTCGTCTTGTGATCTCGTTGTTGAGCCCGGGGGGTAATGCACATTTCTTGGAGTAGTTTGTGGCCCCTTTTCCTTCCAATGGCCACAGTCAGTGTTACAGATTTTCAAATCAGTTGTATTGGTTCTCTTGATGGGTAAGAAAATCCATTTGCAATTTGCATCCTTCGATGTCCATTTCGTTGTAGGGTAAAGTTGCCCGTAATTTGGGTCCATGATAGCAGGCCACCACTGACTGAGTACGTAGGTGGTGGTAGCCGTTTGTTCGATACTCTGTTTGAAGAGGAAATGGATGGATAGACTTAGGCGCTTGTGATGTTCGTTTTAGCTGTACACACGAGTACCGACAATGGCTTTTGACTTTTGTATGTGGGCAAGGTTGTCGGTGCAGACCTGATGAAATGTCGCAGACGGGCATGTACTTGTGTGCTCTGAGGCTTGCATCACTGCTCTACTGTACTTTAACACGCGTCTCACTGTGCTTAGTCATGACAGAAGGCGGGTCATTGGCCAGGAGCGCGGACTGATAAGCAGTATGGTCCTGATGTTTGATGGCATTGGCTGCATTTGGTGAGCTGATTAGCAAAAACAATTCTGCTTGTTTTGGTGATCTGATGTGATTTCATACCAGAGGATGAAGCGGGAATTCGAGTATTGGTATCCATTTGATCTACGAGTGTCTGGAAAGGACCTTGTGCAGAACCACCTGACTTTCTGTGCGTACAACCACACAGCTATGTTTGGTGAGGTATGGTGACTTTTCCTCGCTTCATTATTCCTCCATTCCTTGCATCACTTGCCCTTCTGTTCCCTGCATCACTTGACCTTATAGAGACGCACTTTACGTTGTCCGCATACGACCACTGAGCTATGCTTGCTGAAGTCGGTTTTTCTCTTTGTTCCTTGCATTATTATCTAACATTTCCCACCTGTGACTTTGTCCGGGACGTCTTCGCCTTTGTTTTGCATGACCACAGCTATGTTCGAAGAGTTATGGTGAATTTTTCATCTGTTTACTGCTTTGTTCCTCGCGTCATCCTTCTTTTTTTGTTGAGAGAAACCTCCTTTTTTTCTTTCTTTGTTTTTCATAAGTCGTTTTTATATATTTTGAAAAATGACCTCGCGTCATCCATTATTTTTCGCTTCTTCCTTTTTGTTTTCTGGCCTCCTGCTTCCCTTGCTGTTCGGAACCCTTACATAGGGAACAAAAACATCTATGGTGTGTTTGCGGAGTTTCATAAGGGTGGAGACGCAGAAGGGAACTTAGCGCGCACTGGGCCGGATGGTTGGCCATGATGTATTATGATCCCAACTCTCGAATGCGCCAGGCCGTTTTGATGTTAGTTTTGACTCTTGAGCATGGCTACGTCGACCAGGACCCGGACAGCCCATGTCCTGGGACCGGACGTTTTTCCTTGTCCGGTCATGTCAGGATGTCCGGACTTTTGGGGGCACATCCGGACCTCTGGACATGCATGGTTCCGTATGGTCCGGACCAGTAAGCAGGTCCGGAAATGTCCGGACCATTAAAAAAATCTGATTTTTTTTTTTTAATGCGGAATAACAATGCAAACCACTTTTGCCTCAGAGTCATGTCAGAATTCCTCACCGAACTCGGAGTTAAAAGTCAAAAACTATAAAAAACTTAAAAAAAGGACTTTAAAAATTAATGAATTATTACTTGGGTATCAGTAATATAAAATAGAGATAGACCATGTCCGGACCTCCCCAAAAAACAGAAACGGGCCTGAAAACCCCCCAAAACAATTTTGGGGGCTTGGTTCCTCAGCGGGGAAGGGTCCTGGACCGTATATTTGAACAGAGAACAGCTTTCTAGGTTGGATCATGAGTTCAATTCTTGCAGGTAGACCGTGGCTTGTGGCAAACCCCTTCTTTCGTTTTCCAAAGGAAGGGGGAAAAAAGAGAAAGGAATCTTACCTGAAGGTATCTTTTTGGCATGCTGTGGTGTTAACACTGGACGTGGTGCTGTCACGCAGGACAAATGGCCCAGAGCGTTCCGCTGCAATGGCCATCTAATGTTGAACTCGGAGAAGATGTCCAAGTCTACTGGAAACTTCCTTACTCTTCGGGAAGCCATTCGTGAGTATCCTGATTCCTTTCCTTTTCCCATGTTCCACACTGAATTAGGGCATGTATCTGAATGCAAGTATGGACAGATCGAGTATGCCCTTTAGGCTTGCTGAGCTCGTCATGTATCTGAATGCAAGGACGGACAGATTCATTCAAGAAAGTCTCAAGGCGAGTATGCCCTTAGTCGTGCTGTGCTCCTTTTTTGTTTGCGGATATGCTCACAGCCTCACGGGAGATTATCTATGTATGTACTATGTACTATTTAGTATTTACTCTCTCTCTCTCTCTCTCTCTCTCTCTCTCTCTCTCTCACACACACACACACACACACACACACACACACACACACACACACACACACACACACACAGAAAACCGCATGTTGCCCTCAAGTCTTTGTCGACCTTGTGTCCATACTTGGCTCATGGCTCACGGGAGATTATCTATGTATGTACTATGTACGGGAGATTATCTATGTATGTACTATGTGCTATGTACTATCTAGTATTTACTCTCCCTCTCTCTCTCTCTCACACACACACAAAACCGCGTGTTGGCTTCAAGTCTTTGCCGACCTTGTGTTCATACTTAGCTCGTGTCATGAGAGAGTACGAAGGGGGCAGGGGGTTCTTGTAGCTCTTTTTTTCTAATGGGGTACAAGCTGTATTTACTACCCTATTTTCTTCTCTCAATCTTGTATCAACCTCACACTAGCTGCCTTTAACGTATCTAGTATGGAGAGTCCAATCACAAGCGCACTACACAGCCTAGGTAATTTAATGAACTGTTACGATCCTGGCCAATTTCGAAGTCCACAATCATCAGAAAGTACAATGTTGTCCAATTGCGAAAAGAAATGAATGAACTTGAGCCCAATGCCGTCCAATTGCAAAAGAAATGAAAGAACTTGAGAGGAGAGAGAGGGAAAGAAGAAGAAGAAGAATTAAGAAAGAGGAAAGAGATGATGTACTCCAGCATAGACCAAAGACAAAGCTCT